AAAATGGGCAGTATAACTAAGAATAATAAAGAAAAAACAATTTGTCAACGCTCATCCGCTTCTAGACATATGCAGGCTGTGCCAGGTGGTATAACAAATCCAGCTTGGCATGTAGGTACAACAATTTCACAGTTAGTTTCCGGATGTGGGAGAGGAGCCAACAGATCTCTTTAGTCACCTCAATTTTCAGTTGAGTACTTCATGAGATTAGTGCTTTGATTTTTTTCAGCGGTCTTATGCAGTAAATGTAATGGTGTGGGTCAGTAGTAGGTTTAATTTAGAATTGCCAAACGGATTTGTGTCTACAGACTCCTGAGAAGTCAATCTGATCCTGATTTTCTATTAGCTCTTACCACAAGCTTTGAATGATTCCACCTTGAAAACCAGATGATTTGCTTATGTCTAAGCACAAAGGAAATGTAGCAATCTCAAACAATAAAGCCAACTCTAGTTTCCACTATGGAGATATGTGTTTGCATCCCTGTTAGGCCTCATTTACATGGGCGTATCTAAGTGTACTAACCTGCAATAGACTGTGTTTGCCTGCACAGGATGCACAGATATTCCTAAAATTTGTGTGTAGGGCAGGCAGTCCCTTTCATGTCTGTCAGGACACAATGACTTCACGGACACAGCCACTGGCCCTAATGTGACAGTTGTGCAAGTGCTTATGTCCCCTGGTAAACATGGCCCTTCACACAGATGTACACTTATATACGCATGTGTGAACAAGGCCTTATGAAACAAAATGTCTCAATAACAAACTGTTAAATGCTGCAGCACTGGAGTATATAGAAACTTGGATACTGCTCAGATGTAAAGTCACTTTAGGGCTCATTCACACCAGGTTCATAGCCTTGCCCAACGGAGTCCCAACACATGGACAAGGCAAAGTGCTTTATCCCCTATTAGGTCAGATCACCGTTGCATTGTGTACAGAGGTAAAAACCTGGACTTAGAATTTCTGTATGAAGGGGTGTACATCCATACATGTGCACATGTTTACGCAAGTAATGGCCGGCCTACAGCCATTGATTTTTATAGGTGGCTGTACACAGCTCCTGGATGCGGAAATATTCCTGAATTTTACATTGTAAGAACCCACGCACCTGTATGTGTGAGGGCCAGTTTACACCAGAAAGTGTTGTGGGAAATCCACATTCTGTGCGCATTTCCTGCATCGCGTTCAAAACACACTACACCTGCGACCTGGATTGTGTTTTGGTGTTAACTCAAGGACTTTCCACACGCAGGTCGCAATCTTAGTGCATTTGCCTGCACTGGATCTCATGGCACAATAGAGTTCAGACCTCAGTCCCATAGAGAACCTGTGGAGAGATCTCAAAACAGCAGTTGGGAAAGGTAACCATTCCAATCTGAGAGACCTGGAGTGGTGCAGCTGGCAAAAGAAGAGTGGTCCAAAATTCCAGTAGAGAGGTATAAGAAACTCATTGATGGTTACAAGAAGCAATTTATTTCAGTTGTTTTTTTCAAGGGGCGTGCTACCAAATATTAAATTGAGGGTGCCAAGAATTTTTTCCAGTCCATTTTGGGGGATTTGCATGGAATGTATCAGATTTGGCTTTTTGTTTCTCCATATTTGGTGTGTCATACCAACACTAACAAAATAAATAAACATGAGAATGCCTAAACATTTGTAATTACATTAGCTGACAGTAATGCAGGGGTTCCAATATTTTTGGCCATGACTGTTGTGACATTATGAAAGGCAAGGTGATTGATGGACGCTATGGGGTTTATTTACTAAAGCTGGAGAGTCCAAAATCATACTCCCTTCTGCATAGAAACCAATCAGCTTCCAGGTTTCATTGCCAAAGCTTCATTGAACAAGCTGAGGTTAGAAGCTGATTGGTTTCTATGCAGAAGGGAGTCTGATTTTGGACTCTCCAGCTTTAGTAAATAAACCCCCAGGTGTCACCTCGCATGTGTTCATATCTGGGAGACTAAGGTGGAGTCTAGACCACTTTGGCAGAGTAGGTTCCGGACCTGATTTTGTGGTCTACTGATGACCACCAGCAGTTTGGAATGGGACTCGGATAGCCATATCTGAGAGAGCTGCAGAAGAAAGAGTTTGAGTTTGTACAAGAAAGGAAAATGTTTGCATACCGTTTTGTTTTATTGGTGACAGGGAGAAGCCCTTCACCTGTGAGATAGGAAATTTCCTCTGTTTAGTTAGTGCCTGGATGGCGAGGAATTTTTTTTCTGTTCTGTTTTTTTTATGATGCATGCAGCCTTTTAAATAAAACTAGCTACAAGTCAGATTTTTAAGAAAGACCTGCCGTCTGGACTACCTTTTTCCAAGGGAAGGTGATCCCCCACCTGAGCTAACCCCCACATATGGTGGAGGATGCAGGCAACTTCCTGAGCAAGTGGGAAGATGGTGGAGGTGATAAGAGCCTTGCTGCAGGCCACTGCAACCCAGCAGGAAACCAATTGGCAGTTCGCAGAGGCCACTGCAGCACAAAAGGAGGGGAATCGCCAGTTTACGGAGGCCCAACAAGCAGACTGAGAGCTCCTTAAGGAAGTGGCTCAACACCTGGTGGAATTAAAGAAAGAGTCGGCATTCCGCAGGAAATGATGCAATCTTCTCTCCCCTTTGCACATTCTGTTCTAGAGAGAGAAGAAAGCAGATATATGTGAGTAAAAGCAGCACTCTTTTACAGTAAAAGCACAGCTAGGTCACATTTTAACCCCTTAATCCCCCCAGTTGACCCCTTCACTGCCCTGTCACCAGTGTCATACTGTGTACAGATTTTTTTTACTGGTCACTGTATTAGTGTCACAGGTGACTTCAGCTAATGTTAGCATCCCTGCCAGATATTGTTTGCCAGGAACATAAACCTCCATTGCTAGTAAAGTGTCTGAAGGGATCAATATCTTTGATCAGATCAGAACTATACCAGTGTTCACAATAGTATAGTGTCCCAAAAAATGCAGCGTTAGCAGGATCAGCCCCAGAACCTGCCAGCACCTGCGATTAGCCCCTATGCTTAACCCCCCCCCCCCCACCTTCTCCCCCAGCAAGTGCAGTTTCAGTAGATCACTGTCACTTGATATATTGCACACAAAACTGCAGGGTTAGCGAGATCAGGCCTGATCTCTGCTAGCACTAGCAGGTACATTTTTTTTGTAGCAGTTCAAGCAGTCCCTGACAGCCAGGTGCTCTTTTTCCCCTGAGTCGCACTAGGTACCTATAAATTTAGTGGCCAAAATGTCCAACGGAAGGTACGCTAGTGAAGAGGCCTACAGGATTCTGACCATGTCAGGTGAGAGCGAAGGGGAAGCCTCACTGACTGGCTCAGAATACGAACCTGTCGACAGCAACAGCACCCTGACAGATAGCTCAGATGATGGAGTAGAGGTCCCTGCTAAGGTCAGGTGTACCCTACTCCATTCCCAGGTTGCTGAGGTGGTACAATTACATGATGATTCTCATATGCAGCAGAGTGCCAGTACTAGTGCCGTTCTACCTTTTGGTGAATTAGCGAGCACCAGTGGCCTAGTACATCCTGGTCTTTCACATACCAGGACTGCAGTATCACTTGTTGACGGCGAGTCCTATAAGTGCAGTACAATGTGGTTCACTGGCTATTACAAGTAGTCTCCCGCAGCCACCAAGAATTCGAACACAGGTCCATAGAGCCCATAGTGTCTTTCCAGATGTGCTTGCAAACCCTGATTGGCAGCCCACAAATTCTGCAGCACACGTACTTGCCCCATTCACTGCTCAACCCGGAATTTAGTTTGAAACAGCAAATTTAACTACTGATTTTTTGGACCTCTTTTTCACGGAAGATCTGTATGGATTGATTGTGGATCAAAGCAATTTATATGCACAACAATTTATTGCTACCAACCCAAATTTAAACCTTGCCAGACCATTTGCATAGAAACCTATTACGGTTTCCGAATTTAAAGTTTTTTTGGGCCTAACCCTCAACATGGGCATTACTAAAAAAAAAATGAATTGCGGTTGTATTGGTCCATAGACTCGATGCATCATATGCCCGTATTCTCTGCTGCCATGAGCAGGCATAGATATGAGAATTAGAGATGAGCGGATTATTCAAAAATTCGATTTGGCTGATTCGACGAATTCGTGGAATAAATTTGATTCGAGTCGAATATAGTCGCTGCGAATTTAACTTAGAAAAAGGGTGTTTCTAGGCTTCAGAGAGCCTTTATATTAGTGCAGAACACTGTACCTTTAATTTAAATGCCCTTGGAGTCTGCTGGGGAAGAGAAATAATACTGTCAGTCAGTATGACATGCAGATGAGTGCCGTCGATCTTAGAATCACCGCACACTTCACTCATTTGGGCAGTCACGGGGCCAAAACCAGGGTGTGGAGCCACAGTGTGGCGGTGGAGGCAGCAGCAATGGGAGGCCCGTAATCTGCCAGCACCCTATGACAAAATGGAACCCACCAGCAGTGTGAGGAGACCTGAAAGTGGCACATGGCAGAGTGTGGCGATGGAGACAGCAGCAATGGGAGGCCGTACAGGGACCCATGACACACTCTGGACCTGGCAGCAGCATGAGGAGGCGGTACAGGGGCCCATGACAGATTACGGACCTGGCAGCAGCATGAGGAGTCGGTACGGGGGCCCATGGCAGATTACGGGCCTGGCAGCAGCAATGGGAGGCCATACAGCACCCTATGACAAAATGGAACCCACCAGCAGTGTGAGGAGACCTGAAAGTGGCACATGGCAGAGTGTGGCGATGGAGACAGCAGCAATGGGAGGCCGTACAGGGACCCATGGCACACTCTGGACCTGGCAGCAGCATGAGGAGGCGGTACAGGGGCCCATGACAGATTACGGGCCTGGCAGCAGCATGAGGAGTCGGTACGGGGGCCCATGGCAGATTACGGGCCTGGCAGCAGCAATGGGAGGCCGTACAGGGACCCATGACACACTCTGGACCTGGCAGCAGCATGAGGAGGCGGTACAGGGGCCCATGACAGATTACGGGCTTGGCAGCAGCATGAGGAGTCGGTACGGGGGCCCATGGCAGATTACGGGCCTGGCAGCAGCAATGGGAGGCCCGTAATCTGCCAGCACCCTATGACAAAATGGAACCCACCAACAGTGTGAGGAGACCTGAAAGTGGCACATGGCAGAGTGTGGCGATGGAGACAGCAGCAATGGGAGGCCGTACAGGGACCCATGACACACTCTGGACCTGGCAGCAGCATGAGGAGGCGGTACAGGGGCCCATGACAGATTACGGGCCTGGCAGCAGCATGAGGAGTCGGTACGGGGGCCCATGGCAGATTACGGGCCTGGCAGCAGCAATGGGAGGCCCGTAATCTGCCAGCACCCTATGACAAAATGGAACCCACCAGCAGTGTGAGGAGACCTGAAAGTGGCACATGGCAGAGTGTGGCGATGGAGACAGCAGCAATGGGAGGCCGTACAGGGACCCATGACACACTCTGGACCTGGCAGCAGCATGAGGAGGCGGTACAGGGGCCCATGACAGATTACGGGCCTGGCAGCAGCATGAGGAGTCGGTACGGGGGCCCATGGCAGATTATGGGCCTGGCAGATGACGACGAGGCTGCCAAGTGCGATCAGCCTCATCATCATCAATTAGGGTCTCCGCCTCACTACTAGCCCCCTCGGCTGCGTGTGGGTCAGGAGACAGACCTGTCTCTAGACCGGCTACCGAGCCACTCTCCTCGCCAGTACTTCTTCGCCTGGCTGCTGAAGAGGCGGATGTCTCCCCCCGTTCCTGACCGCCCTCTGTTAGCTCTTCCTCACTGTACAGTGGGGCTGAGCCCACAGCATGCGATACTTCGCTTGGTGAGGGAACACCAAAGGACAGGGGCAGGTAGAGGACACGTGATTTCAGTGGGCTTGCTCCCGGACCATGCCAACTAACGGTTGTGTCTGACGTACCCACCGACCGTTGGCTGTAGGTGTCAGAGGTGACCTGGGAAGAGGAAGACGACCGAGCCAACCAATCAATGACGGCAGGGTTGTCGGTGGAGACACGACCGCTGGATGACACCGGGAGCACTGGCCTCTGGCTGCGACTAGTGCTGCCTCAACCCCTTCCTCTGCTGCCACGTCTGCTCGCTCCTGAAACATTGCCTCCTCTGCCACTCCTCTGCGTGTTGTCTGACATACTCTTTAATTCAACGATTCTGTGTCCCTGAGTAACAATTCTGTGTCCCTGAGTAACGATTCTGTGTCCCTGAGTGACAATTCTGTGTCCCTGAGTAACGATTCTGTGTCCCTCAGTAACGATTCTGTGTCCCTCAGTAACGATTCTGTGTCCCTGAGTAACGATTCTGTGTCCCTGAGTAACGATTCTGTGTCCCTGAGTAACGATTCTGTGTCCCTGAGTAACGATTCTGTGTACCTCAGTAACGATTCTGTGTCCCTGAGTAACGATTCTGTGTCCCTGAGTAACGATTCTGTGTCCCTGAGTAACGATTCTGTGTCCCTGAGTAACGATTCTGTGTCCCTGAGTAACGATTCTGTGTCTGTCCCTGAGTAACAATTCTGTGTCCCTGAGTAACAATTCTGTGTCCCTCAGTAACGATTCTGTGTCCCTCAGTAACAATTCTGTGTCCCTCAGTAACAATTCTGTGTCCCTGAGTAACAATTCTGTGTCTGTCCCTGAGTAACAATTCTGTGTCTGTCCATGAGTAACAATTCTGTGTCCCTGAGTAACAATTCTGTGTCCATGAGTAACAATTCTGTGTCCCTCAGTAACGATTCTGTTACCCTCAGTAACAATTCTGTGTCCCTGAGTAACAATTCTGTGTCCCTGAGTAACAATTCTGTGTCTGTCCCTGAGTAACAATTCTGTGTCCCTGAGTAACAATTCTGTGTCCCTGAGAAACGATTCTGTGTCCCTGAGTAACAATTCTGTGTCCCTGAGTAACAATTCTGTGTCCCTCAGTAACAATTCTGTGTCCCTGAGTAACAATTCTGTGTCTGTCCCTGAGTAACGAATCTGTGTCCCTGAGTAACGAATCTGTGTCCCTGAGTAACAATTCTGTGTCCCTGAGTAACAATTCTGTGTCCCTGTGTAACGATTCTGTGTCCCTAAGTAACGATTCTGTGTCCCTAAGTAACGATTCTGTGGCCCTAAAGTCTCTCTGGCCCTAACTCTGTCCCTAATACAGACAGGTCTGTCTCTCTTGAATGACCGGAGGCTAATGGAGAATTGTAAGATGGCCGCAATTTATAGCTCCACCATTACACAGTGCTGGCTGCTGATTGGCTAATGCGATCACATGTCATGAATGAATGCATTATGGGTCAGCGCGCCTTGTCTGCGCGCCTTCCCAGAGATCCCCGCTCCGTCGCCACACATGTCGCCGCCATTTTTGGGAAAATTCGATTCGTGCATCCGAAGTTTGCTAATTTTCGGATTCGGCGCGAATCGAATTTTTCCTGAACTTCGAAACGAATTCCACTTCGCCATGTTCGATTCGCTCATCTCTAATGAGAATATAATGCAATTTATGCATTTCAATTACAGTACACTCTGTCAACCTCGGGGTGACCCCTGAATTTGACTGGCTGCACAAAATTTGGCTCCTCATAAATCATCTTAACCAGAAATTTGCAGATGTGTATACTCCCCATCAAAACATCTGCGTTGATGAGTCCCTCAATTTTTCTGGCCACCTTCCATTCAAACAATTTCTTCCCAGCAAGCTTGCCAGATATGGGGTCAAAATGTATAAGACCTGTGAGAGGTCAACAGACTATACATGTAATGTTTGGATTTATGAGGGAAATGATAATGACACGGAGCCCCCCAGATGCCTAGACTACAAAGGGAACAGTGGCAAGATAGTTTAGGACATGGTGTCACTCTTTTTCCATATGAGATACCACTTATACGTGGACAATTTTTATACAAGCATGCCACTATTTAGAAATTTGTATAATCTTGGAATTGGTGCATGTGGCACTGTACAACCTAATCACCGGGGCTTCCCCCAACTACTTGTAAAATACCTGTCTTAGAAGGGGAAAAAAGCCTGCTGGAAAAAAAATTATGAGTTGCTCGCAGTGAAGTGGAAGGACAATGGGGATGTTTTCTTCCTGTCTTACACACACACACGACCATCCAAATTTCCATAGCAGCTGGTGTTGTTGAGAAGGCCCTCTGTGTCCACGACTTTAACCTTAACATAGGAGGGGAGGACTTCAACATCCAGATCATGAAGCTGTACTTAGTTTCTCGAAAAACGGAAAAAAGTGTCTGTTTATTTATTTCAGTTGGCTTTATATAACGTTTTTGTGCTTTACAAAGCGACTGGACAAAGTGGATCCTTCCTAAATTTTCAGGAAGAGATCATCACGGCCCTCTTCTATCCAGATGGTGCTGTGGCTCAAACCCCCAATCAGATGCAGTGAGCAAGTTTCATGAGAGGCAATTTCCCGATGCCATTCCTGGTACCCCAACCCAAAAGGCACCCAAAAAAAATATCTTGACTGCAGCAGACACGGAATTAAGCGTGACTCACACTTTTTTTTGGCCCCTCCTGTCCTAGCCAACCTGGTCTCTGCCTCAAGGACTGCTTCTGCTGCTACCACACACTAGTGGAGTATTAGTATAAGGTACAGCACGGCACAGTCTAGGGCACATATATGCAAAGATATTTAGTAGTCAGGAAACTGGCACATTTTGAGAGACCCTACCTTCTGGAAGTTAAAAAACAGTTAAAAACCCATAAAAAGTGAAAAAAAAAAAAATAGTTGTCATTTTATTGTTGTCAAGTTACTGTTTTATTGTTACTGTTTAATTGTTAACCATTGCTGTTTAATTTGCAGGAATGCCATTCAGCTGTAGCACTGATCTGTTTATCCTGACAGCAACAGGGTCTCGCTCTTAGAATATACATAAGTGTGTGCAGCCTTGTTGGATGAGATTTTTCATAAATTGTTAACCAGTTGTCGACCGCACTATAGCCAAAAGATGGCTACAGCACGGTTTGCTAGTTCTGGGAGGGCGTCCATGGATGTTCTCCCGGAACCACACCCGTCATCTATATACCTTCCATCATCATCTGGGATGGCGATGTTGACAGTGTCCAACAATTTGTGTCCCACTGCAACAACAACAATATGGGTCTGACCTTCACATCTGTGACCCATAAAAACACCTTAGCATTCTTAGACGTACTTATGTGTCATGAAGATCCTCTTATCTTTGCCCAAAACTACACAAAACCAACTGCAGGTAATTCTTTCTTACATTATACAAGAGCTGCCACCACCCCAGGTGGTTGAGTAATATCCCTAAAAGCCAGTTTTGTAGATTAAGACATAACTGTACCAAACTTTAAGACTACTCAACACAAAGTATTACTCTTAAACATAAATTTCTTGAGAAAGGCTACCCACCAACTCTCATTGTTGACGCCCAGACACTCTACAGTACCAGACCTAATACCATCGATTCTTGCCCTGAGGGTAAGAATTCCACCATCAGATTTACCACTCAGTTCTATAACCGACACACACATGGAAAGAATAGTGCATAAACACTGGTCAATCCTATTACAAGATCCACACCTGCTTGACAGTATACCCACCAAACCAAAGTTTTCTTACTGAAAAGCTTGTAATATTAAAAGCAAATTAGCACCTAGCAAATTAAAACCAATCAAGTCAGACTCTGTCCCCCTCAGTTTATTCCCCATCACAGGCATGTACCAATGCAATAAACCACTTTGTTTAAACTGCCCATTTGTCCACCATGGCCAAAAAGACTTCAACATTAAAGGTACAACATATAAGATTCCTGCCTTTTACACATGTTCTTCTGAGTTTGTGGTATATTGTCTGGCTTGTCCTTGTGGTCTTTATTATGTAGGGAGAACCATCCGTACTCTGTGTAAACGGTTTGGCAAACACCGCCGCCTTATCGAAGATGGCATTGATAAGCACAGTGTTCCCCGACACTTCTCAGAACAACATGGTAAATCCACTAAGGGTCTAAGAGCCTGGGTAATTGAAGCAATGCCCACTGACCTGCCGAGAGATTCCAACGCTTATGTCGTAGGGAGACCTATTGGATTTACTTATTAGACGTACTATCTCCTGGTGGTCTTAATGAGGACCTTGATATCCATACCATCCTATAGCACCATCAGCTCCTATATAGGTGCCAACATATCCCCACCCCTTCCTTTGTATTCCTTTTCCTCTTCCTCCATCCCATTGTACATTTTGTTCTGTACTGGGCATTATGCCTGCGTGTGCCAACGCATGTACTTACGTGTTTATTTGGGGTTGTGCGTATGTGTGTGCATATGCACGCGTGCTCGTGTGTGGATGTGCGTGTATATATGCACATACACATATATAATTTATTTTCTGCCTGCTGTTACATGCACGCGTTTGTGTAGTTATCCTTTGTTTAGACTGTACTTATGTGTAATGATTATGCTGTGACTTTTCGACCATGGTTCACATCCCATCAGTGTAACCTCCTGCATTTAATTTTAATTTACTTTACTATCTAATATGCCCAGGTTACCTATATGTATAATT